AGGTCTAGATCAAACCTGTTAAAACCCCTCTCACTGGTCAAGGTCTACACCAAACCTGTTAAAACCCCTCTCACTGKTCAAGGTCTAGACCAAACCCGATCCCTACTGGGCCCAGACTCCCTGTGCTTTCCCTTTCCCCACCGCGCACTCAGAAGTGGTGGAGGCTCGGCCGCTGAGTGCTTGGGCTCAACGTTGAGCTTCACCCCACCTCTGCTGAGTGCCAGAAAAGGCACGCGTTGGACTGGGTCCGGGCTGGGAAGGAAGTGTCACTGGAATCAGGAACATCTGAAAGACTCTGCATCCAGGGAGTCCCCATCAGACTTCTCTCTCAGGCCACATGGACTCTGAGACTGACCTCTCTGGGCAGGTTTATTTAGTTACTTTTTATTTTCCGGGCAATCCTCTGGGTTCAAGAGCTAATAGAGATCAGCTTGCTTCTGTGAGTCTTTGTTTTAAATGTCTGGGAGAGGAGATCTGATTGGCCAAGGGAACTGGTGGCATAGGATAAATATTAGTGAAAAGTTTATCCAAAAGGATAGCTCAGGGATGATTATTTTTTAAGTGGAAGGAATACGCTGAGTAGACACTTCAGAATGTTTACGATGTCTGCGGCTTCACTTAACTCACGATGGTCACTGATGGATCCCTCTTTTCCACTAGAGAAAGTGTCCCTTTAGGACAGGGACAGGGKATTTCCCTTTTGGGTGTCCCCAGCCTAGCAAGGCTTTGCCCGAAACACCAACAGAAAACACTTTCTGAATCTGAAACATCACCTCCACTCAGCCCTGAGTGCACTTCTTGTCTTGGTGAAAGGTCTGCCTTCCATCGTTGGCAGAAGACAAGACACAGAAGATGAGTTTCCTTCCCCGGCTTCAGTGCTCTTCTATCATTAAACGCTCGTTAGCTGAGATAATGGCACTGTCTCCACTTTAGGAGGTGAGGTCCGGGACCTCAGGTTCAGATGAACTATGAATACAGCTACCTTCGTCTCAGAGCAATTATCTCCTCCTGGCTCTGTGGGGCAGAACAGCTCCAGCTCTGGAGCTGGTTGGTAAGTCCTTTAAGGAACCCTCTCAGAGGAGCCTCAACTAACCCCGGACTCATCTGAGCAGAGCATTGCTGAGCTGTGGCTGGTGGTCCGGGGAGCCACTGCCTCTGTAGGCTCTAAACCTAGCCCCTCCGTGTCCCAGACCACATCTAGACCCCCTTGTCCACTCCCCAAGGCCAGGGCAGCAGCCAAGCTTGGCCAGAAGAGGCAGTCCCTTTCCTGGCTGCAGAGAGTTTCTCTCCGTGGTTCATTACGTCCCTCTGAGGTGCTCCCTAGGGGAGAAATTGGCTCATTGTTTACTCAACCCAGTGGCTCCCCTGGTAGCTCACTGCCTCTTTCTGCTCTGATGAGCCAGCTCTGCACAGAGGCAGACCTCACGGAAGGGGCATTACCAGCAGCCCACCGCCACCGCCCTGCGCTCTGGTGGGGACCCTCCTCGCCTGGGTCAACACTGATCCTCACGCCTCTCTCGGAGTTTTCCACCTTCTACATCCCAGTTAGAAGTGGGGGTGGGGAACGCGGAACAAAAATGCCAGTCGTGTTATTGCAGATGTACCTTGTCCCTAACAGACACCCTAAGACTTTTGTATTTGGGAGACTTAATAATGTCTGACCAGGCTGATCTTCCTCCCAAGAGGAATGTGCGTGAGAGTGCACACTCAGTGTGCCAGGACGTCTCTTAATGAGATTGACACAACTTCAACTTACACTTAGTTCACCCACTCAGGTGACCATTATCACTATGAATGGAACACACGTGACCTTGAGCAAATCTCTTGGATCATTCTTTATCAGTTAGAAAGGACCCTCCAAAAGCATTTCCTAGGCATTTGGTAGAAATTAGAACTTAATCAAAAAGTCACCCAGATAAAGCAAGAATAATCAATGTGTATAAAAAATCACGTGTTGGGCTGGGGTCGTAGCTCAGCGGTAGAGCGCTCGCCTAGCACGTACGAGGCGCTGGGTTCCATCCTCAGCACCACATAAAAATAAATAAATAAAATAAAGATTTTTTAAAAGTTTTTTTTTTAAATGACATGTTAAGATCTTGGGGCATTTAGCCTCTGGTCCGATTGCAGGATGAATGGGCACCTATTGCCTACTCTCCTGACTACTTACAGGTTGAAAGAATCAAGTTGTGTTCATTTATTCTGAAGGAGAGGGAAATCTCTCTTCCTTACCATGATGACAGTCTATTTTTACCTCTCACAGAAGCTCAACAATGTGCACCTTTTGTTACTTCATATTTTTAAGGTTGATTCCTGTCTCCTTACACACGTTTTATACGTAAACAATGTAGTTCTCAATTTTCAACAATCTCAGAGTTTTGGGCGAAGCGCGTTTCAGTCTGTGGATCCCTCGGATGCCCCGTCCTTTCTTCTGAACCGGACCTTCCGCCACTTAATGCTCCTTCCTGACGTGACGCTTAGCTGAGTAGAAGGCGAAAAGTAAACGAATAATTTTCAAGTCCTAAAACATGAGTTTGTCACCATGCCCTTCCGAGACACTTAACTCCAATATGGATTGCTTTGAGGGGTCTTGTCAAATAATATTTTTAAAAGGTGATATAAATAGTGTGTCCCTTCAATGATCTGTGGGTCAGAAAGATCGATGGCAATACAGACAATATAAAACAGCAGTAACGAACAGGGTCTGGGATCAAACAGAATCAAGTTTGAACCCCTTCTGTATATGAACTGTGTGACCTTGAGCTAAGCACTTAATCTCACTAAGGCTGTAAAATGAGAACAAATAGAACATCTAACATTTGTTGATTACGTTTTATGTGCTGGGCACTGTGCTAATTCTGTCACATGCATTCATTATCTCATTTCATCCTCAAAATAATCTCATGAGGAAGGTACTATTAATATCTTCATTTTACAAATGGAGAAATCGAAGCTCAGAAAGGTTGGGTAACTTGTCCACAATCTCAGGATGGCAGAGCCCCTAGCTCAACGCCACATTTTTTAGCTGTAAAGACCAAGTTCATAAATACCGCATTATACTGTGTTGATATTGTGTCCTTGGGGTAGTACTCTCCTTATAGGGCGAGTTGGGAGTATTAAACGAGATAACCCAAGCAAAGAATATGCCTGCACATCGTTGGCACKATTATYAGGTATTATTCCTATKAAATGCTACCTGCTAAAATGGGTATAGAATTTTACTGTTGACAAAGACGATTTACAAAGTAACTCATTGGAAACTGACTCAGAAAGGTCAAAAAMCTCAACCGAGTTCATTTCGTTCRTGAGCACCCCGATATCAGGATCCAAATCTTTTACTTCTAAAATGCAGCAAGCCTCACCCTGCCTTTTAATCACGGTTTTTATATATTTCATTTGTTATTTCCAGATGGGTTATTTTCAGATTAGTTGGGTTCTAATCTTACCTGCCTCAAAATTGTGGCTCTAACTTGATGAATCTCGAAATTTCGTTTCTTCATTTTCTGCTGATTCTCTCCTTTCTCCCAGACAGTTCTCCTTCCGGAACGTGGAGGAGAGAGAAGCCCCAGCTGTCGGACACCCACCTTCTTCCCGCTGTTCAATCCCAGGGTAGGGAGAAGGGGCTGTCTTTTTAAGGGTGATTGTAAGTTGGACGTCTAGAGATGTGAGCATTCTCCTGCATTTTGAAGGGAACTTGAGTCCCAGGATGAAGCCGCGGGAAGCCACCCCAAGCCTGTGCCAGACACCAAAAAGGAGGGAGGCGGATGGGAAAGATGAAGTCAGGGTCCCTCGGGTCCCAGATCACGTCCCGAGAGTCTCCCAGCTCCTCGGGATTTTCCTAGTGTTCCTGATCTTTCTGTGGCTCTGAGTAACCCCCCCACTCACACACAACCAGGCCAACCTTACACCAGAGAGCCTCCTGAGCTCCAAAGCTATCTGTCTGTTTCTCCTGTTTTTCCCTTTTTACCCTCTCATCTAAATGGGCATTTGATATGAACTCGGGGTTTGCAGGAAAGGAGAGGGTGAAATAGTTCTCACTAAAGCCTAAAGGACTCTTTCCTCTGTCCTATCCAGAGGCCAAGGCGTTTTAAAAAGATCGTTATCAATGCGAGAGAATTGGTAATGGTGGGAGTTCTTGGGGTGAGACGGAATAAAGTGGAAAACAGCCCTAGGCAGAAGGTGTTTCGGACTAGGCCTGCTGCACTGGGGCCGGAGAGCCCAAGGAGGGCCTCTTGCCCGTCCCTTTGCCACTGACCTCTCCAGCCCACAGAAGCACATTGGGCCCAAACACACACCTCACCCGCAACCGGGGCTTCCAGACCTTTCCTCGTCAGCCCAACAGCCCTTTTTTCATCTTTGGAGTTTAACCCAGGGTGCTTCACCRCTGAGCTACRTCCCCAGACAGGGACTYACTAACTTGCTGAGGCTGGCCTYGAATGTGCAGTCCTCRGGCCTCSGTCTCCYGAGTTGCTGGGATCMCAGGCAGGCACCCATGCACCKGGCTCAACCTGACAACKTTAGARCCCYCCCACYAGGGGCTAGAAAGGGTCTTCCAGCACAGAGCACAGGCTCATTTTGTCATGGAGGAGCCAAGGCTCAGAGAACAAGGCCCAGGCCCACRACGGATGGGAGGCAGCGTCTGCATTAGCCTCCAGGCCTTCTGCTAAAGGAGCTGGGCGTTAGCTACACTCCAGGCTCAGCACCCGGAGGCCTGGCATCATGAACTGAGGGACATTTGTGCGTGAACCTGCCTGCTCACTTACCCACTGGGCTTTCTTTTCTCTCCTTAGATCGGCAGGTGGAAGTCACCGGTGCTAAAGACGTTGACGGTCTGACCTGGTGTTCCTACCTGTGTCTTCCGACCCCGAGGCTTCGCCTGCTCGGCCCTCTGCCAGGTAGGAGACACTAGTTATCCACGGGAGAGACCATGAGGTTTAGAAGTACCTGCAAAAACACTAGGTTAGGGTCACTTCCCTCTTCATGCTCTCATTGAGCATTTAGTAATAATAAGACAAATAATTACTTATTATTAATATTAATTGCATTTAATAATAACTAGAGCCACTCTTTTGCCCTCTTAGCAGGACAGCAGACTGTGGATCCTCTACCTCCAGAAAGGTCCTTTGCCTGGGTCATATCTCAGTCACCATTTCCTGGCCACGTGACCTTGCCAAGTTACTCAACCATGACTCAGCCTCTTCACCTCACAAGTGGAAGCAGTACTAGTTGTTACCTAATGGAGATTTTTCTAATCTACCTGTAAGTGCTTAATACACGCTAGCGGTCATCAGTATGACGGTGGTTGGTTTTTGTTTGCTTTTTTTAAATTTTGAAAATATGTTCTTCTATTTAAGGAAGGGAGACTTTTCTGGTCTTAGGTGCCTTTCCCCACTGCCTGGCAGTCTAAATTGTCACCAAAGGTTAAGGTGACCCTGTGGAGAGTGAGTCACCACCACTTAGAAGCCGGGGGTGAGTCAGTGGCATCTGAGGGAAGGTCGGAAGTTCCCCTGGCTCAGAGTGAGAAGATCCAACCCAGTCCTGGGGTGCAGAACTGAGTGCTTCTGTGGCCAGTTGGACCTGGAGTGTCATGGAGAACTTGGGCTGCTCAAGTGAGGAGCACAACGTGGAGGCGCGTGCAGAGGCTGTGCATCACACGGAGCTCAGCTGGATTGCAACTCCGCCTCTATCTTGCTATATGTGACCTCAGACAACTTACTAAGCCTCTGTGTGCCTCATTTTAAAATCATCTGTAAATGGAGATGGTCTTAGTAGAAATTACTTCATGGTGTCAATTCTTGGGAAAATGCTGAGAACAAGTAAATACTCAGTAAAAAGTCATGGTCATCACCATCACCGCCGCCATCGTCACGGTGCCTGGGAGTCTAGTCAGACAGCTCCAGGGATGAGCAGTAGTGAAGAAGCAAGCTAAGGGGAAAGGAACGAGAAGTCCTTAACGTGGTGAGTTTTAGGTAGTGACAGGTCATTAGCTCGTATCAAGTATCAAAAAAGCCCTGGGTTCCTCCTTGCTCCTCACCTATGAAGGAACGAGTGATGTGCGCTCACGTGATTGGCATTTTGTAGAGGAAGATCCTGAGGGGTAGGCTATCAGGAACCTTCATGCAAAAACGCAGCTCTGGTCTCGAACCTGTGGTCCGTCAGGGTAGCCGTCTTGGCCTCCGCCGAGGAGACCTAGTGCTGACTCACAGTCACCCTGCCGTCCTCCTCCTGGTCTCCTGGGCCCTGTGACTTCACGCCAGCTGGGAATCTGCACATCCTTTGTGCTTTTTTGCTCACATCTTATGCTTCCTTTGCCATCCCATTTACGCTGCATGTTTCAGTCTCTGGGCTTCTCTCTCTCTCTCTCTCTCTCTCTCTCTCTCTCT